TTTTCAGGATCATTGCATTGAGAAACTAGATAAAAGAACCAGTCTGATCTGGTTTCCTGTAGCTATGTGTACTAAGTTTTCTGTGACTGTGACAAATAATTGCCCTGAAATGGAGAAGATGATTTGATAACTTTAAACATTTTTTTATATGTAAATGAAGCTGGTGTTTCTTGTATTTAAAGTTTAAAAAGTCTGGCTATTTGATTCTGTGGTCTTCCATGACAATGATACTTCCCACACAACTCTTGCTAATGACTAACTTGTTTTTGGAGGAATGGATATTGTAAAGCTCTAAATGTAAAACCGAATGGAAGATGTTGTTAGCCATTAATTGCTTGTAGATACTAATTTGTTTATTGGCTGAGATACTGGCTAAAATGACTCAAAATGCAAGCAATAACTGTAAACCTATTAAATTTTGATACTCTGTGTTGTAGACAAGTTTCATGTAGTAATACAGCATCAGAATTTTCGAATGGTCTTTAGATAATACTGTTAATGAAATAATTGCCCTTTTCTTTTAAGCCGCGCAGCCCTTAACGTACTGTTATTGCAGTAAGTTCTGCTACTGAACATAATGCATGAACACTGTTTAAGAAAGCAGGAAGTGCTTATTTTGTGTCTATCTTATTTCTCCTAGCAACCAGACAACATTGTTTATGTGATGGATGCTTCCATTGGCCAAGCTTGCGAAGCTCAAGCTAAAGCTTTCAAAGATAAAGTAGATGTAGCTTCTGTTATTGTTACTAAGCTTGATGGACATGCAAAAGGAGGTGGAGCTCTTAGTGCGTAAGTATTACAATATAATAGTGTCCAACATCTGTCCATGCATGGACAACCATGAAATGGTTTGGTGTCTCACAGAAACCTGTCTTGTGAAAGTGTCACTGTCACACTGCACAGAATCTGACATTTAAGTCTGCAACAGTTATGTTCTTACCCTACTTCTGGTGCATGGGATCACCCACTGATATTTAATGTTAGTCAGAATGAGGTATTATGATGTACTTCCAATACAGTAGTGTGCATTGTCACGTCAGACTTCTGTCTTCTGAAAACAGCATCAAGCAATTTTATTTATTGCCTCTTGTGTATCAAGAGTTTTTACCAAAAATACAAATTTGGACTTAATAGATATGGCTTACATGAAAAGTTTTGCTTCTCATATAATGCCCCAAATTTTTTTCCGAAAGGAGAAAAACTCTAGTTAGTCATATCTAGTGGCCTTAAAACTGCAATGCAAATCAAACTTCTGTATTGCCAGCGTCCAGCAATTTGGTAAAAAAATCAGTCTGCAGTCATACTTAACACAAATTCCATTCTTGTTGGACTTCCCGTGTGCTCTAGCTTGACAGACTCTATTGACTAGAAAATGTTACATTTTATCTTCAGCCTTACATGATGGCATGTCAGACTAATCTTCAGCTGCGTTTCAATGGTATAGCTTGTATGGAGCTGAGATTAATTTGTCAAAACAGTCAAAGTTAACTGACACCAACTTACTAAATCGTTGTCTGACTTTGATCTTAAGTGTTAGAGCTGTTAAACTGCCATATGTATTTTGCTGTTATTTATAGCGTAGTGATGGAAAACTAAAGAGCAAAATGAAAACACCAAAAGCTTGTTCCAGTTGTCATGTGCTTGTATGCATTAAGTCTGCTGTGTTCTATACTTTCTGTAGACTGGAAGCTGAGTTCATCTAAAAGTTAGTGCAAATGATTGGTGAAAAAGGTCTGATTTTTCTTACTATGAAAATGAAATTGCTGTCTGTTGTAGGAGGTACCTTGAAGAAAAAGTAATTAATGCCTCATCTGACCTCCCAATATTAGGATAAAGTGGGGATGTTGTATTTTTCTTTCTTTCCTCTCAAGTTTCTTTAAACTCAGCAATGAAAATAAGCAACTTCTACTTCTGATTTTTCAAAGCAGAGTTTGTATTTTACAAAGTACTAATTAGAGAAACATCTTGTCAGCTACTCCCAACTACCCATCCTAAATGCTGGATGTTTTTGCATTAATAGTTTGAGGAGTAAGAAAGGTATTTCAGAGCGGATGAGCGGATGCTTTGTGTTTATGATGCCTAGCTGATTATGTTAATAGGTGGTACAAAAGATGGGTGGTTTTTAAGAGGCCATTTTGTATATATTTCAAATATGTTTTACTGCAGAGTTGCTGCCACGAAGAGTCCTATTATTTTTATTGGAACTGGCGAACACATAGATGACTTTGAACCCTTTAAAACACAGCCTTTCATCAGCAAACTTCTTGGTATGTACTATGTACAGCTGTACTTAAGACACTTTGAATTGGATAATAGTCAGTGTAATTTTTTTTAATGCTAACTTCAGAGCTGCTGTTTTTCTTCCAGGTATGGGTGACATTGAAGGATTGATAGATAAAGTAAATGAGTTAAAATTGGATGATAACGAAGCACTTATAGAAAAGCTCAAACATGGTAAGTTACTCCCAAGGCCTGAGTAGTGGGTGTATTACCATGACCTAATCATATCAGGTTCTCTCAGAGATGTAGGCAACTGAGTTAATTTGTGTTATGTGTAGAGACAAGTAACTTGTTTCATGTGCATAGTGAAGAATGGTTATTATTTCTCTAATAAATGTAGCAGGCAAGTAAATTGAGGTACATTTTGTCAAGTGGTGGGTCTGTCAGACTGTAACTGTCTATAACTGCAGAATAACTAGCTTAACTCTTAGGTGTGCCATCTAAAATGGTTTAGCCATGTTAATAGTGGAGAAGAGGTTTATTTATCTAGTTATCTATGCAGTATAGTATTTACCTGGTAAATATAAAGAGTAATTGAGAAAGGACTACTCTAGTGTGACTTCTGCTAACCTTTTTTTGTTGTACTTCAGGTCAATTTACATTAAGAGATATGTATGAACAATTCCAAAACATCATGAAAATGGGACCGTTCAGTCAGATCTTGGTTAGTTATCCCAATAATCATTTTATTTTATCAGATTTTCATTTATACTTGACAAACTTCTGCTGTAAACTTAACACCAGTTTCAATGAAGAGTTTACAGTGTGTGCTTTATGTTTTTCAAAAAGGTGAAATGATTATGTACTGTGGTACATAACTGCTGAACTAAACTTGCTGTCCATATTTCTGGCTGCTTAATTAAAGTTAGCTTTGGCTATTCTGACACAGCTTTTTTACCATTTTTAAAACAAGGGTATGATCCCTGGTTTTGGAACTGACTTCATGAGTAAAGGCAATGAACAGGAATCGATGGCAAGGCTAAAGAAACTAATGACTATAATGGACAGTATGAATGACCAAGGTAAAACAAACTTCACTCACTATTTTTTGAACATTGTTAAAAAAGCTTATTTACAGAGATCTTTTTGGAAACAAGTTGGACAATAAGGCAGCATCTATAGTGACAGAAAATGATGAGCATTTATCACTCTTAGAAATGACAAAGAGTACATATGCGTCTCAAATTTTCTGAATAAGTAAAAAATTTTAGAGAGATACCTTGACAATTGCCTGTTGCTGCTCTGTCTTGTGTAGAATGGGTGGTATTTTGAAGCATTCTATTAGAAATTAATGTATCTTTATTTTTCATGCTGTAACTGTGCTTCTTAAATTATTAACACTATACTTGCAAATTAAAAGCTACATTCATCTTTAATATATCATTGCTGTCTTTCTTCCTACCCACCCTCAAATTTACTTGGTGACATAGCCTCGTTTCTGGAATTCAAGGCGTGTTGTTTCTAATCCACCCATAACTGTTGCAGGAGTAGTATGCTCTTACCGTTGAGCTAAACCCACTAATATGGCTTAAGACCAAGTATGCTGAGAGCATAATTTATTCAAGGGACTTTTTCTATCATGGTGATTTAACATATGAACATAACAGCTTTTTAGTACTATTCCTTAGAATATTATATCTCAATTATTTATGTAAAATTCTACATTGTCACTTCTAAAACTAGGTTTTTTTCTTCTCTGGCTCAACTAAACTCTCAACAATAACAAGAACAAGTTTGCTACCAGCTGTAACAGATTTTAATGTCTGTAACTGAATGGATTTTTCTTTCCCATATTGTAATTGCAGAACTTGACAGTACAGATGGTGCCAAAGTTTTCAGTAAGCAGCCAGGAAGAATCCAAAGAGTAGCAAGAGGTTCAGGTGTTTCTACCAGAGATGTTCAGGAGCTTTTGACCCAATACACTAAGTTTGCACAGATGGTGAAAAAGATGGGAGGCATCAAAGGGCTTTTCAAAGGTAAAAAAGAAAAACATTTATTAGCTGAGTGGGGAGGTCACTTCATGTGTGAACACAAGAGGAGATGTGAAAATGTCAACTGGGTGTTGGGAGAGGAGAAAGTGAGTTGCAGCTCGCTCATTTTCATGACGCTTGAAAGCTCTTTGATGTAACTGGTAAGAGCTGCACTGCCCTTAATGACAATAATGTGTAACTTAGCAGTAAAAACTACTGTATTTTTGGCTTCATCAATGTAGACTTCATTACTACTACAATACTGACACTTCAGTCTGGTATGTGGGGCACGGGGACTGTTGATTCTTAAAATATGTTTAAGTGGCTGATGTAGTAACTTTTGATCATGGACTCAAATGGATTTGCACCTAGAATTAGAAGGTAAGATTCTCTTTTTTTAGCCCCATATATTAATCCCCTTTCTTACCTTTGCTTCTTTCATTAATTTTTTTTAGGTGGTGATATGTCAAAGAATGTAAATCCATCTCAACTGGCCAAACTGAACCAACAGATGGCAAAGATGATGGATCCAAGAGTTCTTCATCATATGGGTATGTGTTAGCTTTTTACAGCTTCAAGAAAGGACGGCCAATTATAGTGGAGCATTTGAAATACAGAAGTGAGGAAGGTGGTATGACAATGTATGCACTATATATCAGTATTAAGTATTTCTAGGTTTTCGAACAAGAATCAAAGGTTTAGTCCATATGTTATGAATGCTTTGCACTTAGCAGTGCTTCATCTTGTCTCTTCATTTGGATTCAGCTCTCAAAATAAGCAACTGGAGTAGTGTCTGATGAAATAGTAAAGTGATGACTTAAAGCATGACTGTAGTAAAAGCAAATCTATTCCTAAACCTCGCTTCTCTTCTAAGCTTTGCCTTAAATAATTAAATTTGACAAGAGCAGCTGTAAATAAAGATGCCCATACTGGAACCTTACTAATTAATAATAGTTATTCCTTCACGGCTTTTTCTTTTGTCTAGATCATAATGCACAGGTCATCTTAAAACCTACTTTAAGCCTGGTGTTTTGCAGACCTTTCTGTAATTACTCACTCAATTGTTCATTTTCAATAGCCATTTAAACCTGGCTTGACAGTCTTGGGCTTTTGTATATTATTGAAATCGTGTGTGCTGTAATGAGGCCTCAGAAACAAGATAGCTGTGCTTCAGAGTTAATTAACACATCTATGTTCTGACTTATTTTCTGCAGGTGGCATGGCAGGATTGCAGTCAATGATGAGACAATTTCAACAAGGTGCTGCTGGGAATATGAAAGGCATGATGGGATTCAATAATATGTAAAGAAGCCTTAATAAAAATGGACTTGGTTGACTCTTTGTTGCAACTTCATTGAAAGAATTTGCTTTCTTCCTTTTTACAGTGATGGGGGAGTGGTCTTTTGAAATCTTATTGAGGCTTCTCAGTTTCTACATCTAACTTCTGAAAACTATTTTTGCTTAAATTAGTTCTTCTCCACTAATACCTGATGGCACAAGAGTAACTCAATTTAAAACAAAATCATGATGTAAAATTTTAATATGTAGAGACACTTTTTAATTGTTTACATCAAATGGCAGCCATTATATTTGTAAACAACCCTGATCTTTGGTTATAGTAACATAAAATGTCACAAATATACTGTAAAATAAAATTTAAGTGGTTATAAACAAGAGAATGGCCTGTTTCTTCGGTCTTTCATAACTGTCTTTTATCAGTGTGTAATGAGATTATTTCCTTAGTTTGATTTGTTTCTAATGGCTGCTGTAACTCATGTTTGGCATAGATACTATAAGAATAATTCAGTGTCTGAAATGTGCTGTTAATGTTCAGGTGTTCTCCTTGGAACATTTTTAGAAGGTGGATGTGCTAGCTCAGGTTTGTAGAAAACTTTTGTTCTCCAGAATTTTATTGTTCTTT